CGAGACCAGAAGCAGCAGAGGGTGCTGGGGGAGTGGGGGGCAGCCAGGGTTGGGGTACCCTCATGGTGCTGTAGCTCCTGCCCCAGCCCTGCACTCCCAGCTCTGCTCAGCCAGGCACCAGTGTCTCGCCCTGCTCTGAAGATGTTAATTATTCCCAACGAGGCACAGAGGCTCAAAAATTGATATAAACTTGTGCGAAAGGAAAATCAAACTCTCTGTCCCAGGTCTGGCCCTGGAAACATCCAAGGGCAGATGGGAGCTGGCTGGGAGAGCTCTCCTGCCTTCCCTGGGCTGCAGGACCTGCCTGAGCCCTGCTGGCAGCTCTGGCTGTGCCACACTTTATTCCAGCACCAGGGCAAGGTTTAGAAACCTTGCAAAATATGCCAAGGTCTGGAACAATCCCTGCCAGGCTATTCCTGCTGCCCCAGCACAACCATGGGGCTGGGAAAGAAAATCAACCTTGGGGCAAACCCTCTGTCCCAGGTCTGGCTCTGGAAACATCCAAGGGTAGATGGGAGCTGGCTGGGAGAGCTCTGCTGCCTTCCCTGGGGCTACAGGACCTGCCTGAGCCCTGCTGGCAGCTCTGGCTGTGCCACATTTTGCTCAAGCACCAGGGCAGGGTTTTGGAAACCTACAAAGGATGCCAAAGTCTGGAACAATCCCTGCCAGGTTATTCCCCCAGCTCTCCCTGCCCCAGCACATTTGGGGGGCTGCTCCCAGTCCCTGGTGCCCCCAAAACACACCCAGGGTTTTGGAAACCTTACAAAGGATGCCAAAGTCTGGAACAATCCCTGCCAGGCTATTCCTGCTGCCCCAGCACAGCCATAGGGCTGGGAAAGAAAATCAACCTTGGGGCAAACCCTCTGTCCCAAGTTTGGCCCTGGAAAGATCCAAGGGCAGATGGGAGCTGGCTGGAAGAGCTCTCCTGCCTTACCTGGGGCTACAGGACCTGACTCAGTCATGGCACACTTTGTTCCAACACCAGGACAAGGTTTTGGAAACCTTGCAAAGGATGCCAAGGTCTGGAACAATCCCTGCCAGGTTATTCCAGCACAGCCAAGGGAAATACGGGGCTGGGGGCTGCAGGATGGGCTCTGTTTTGGCTCAAGCCCACTCCCCTTGGGGTCTGCCTTCAGCACATGCTGAGAATTGGCCCAAATTGCCCAAATGGGGTCCCTGCCAGGCAGCACCCCCTGCTCAAGTCTCGCCATCCCTTTGGGGACACCCAGGGCCGGATCCTCACCGTTGTCACAGCGCCAGTTGATGTTGATGCAGCGCCCGTTGTTGCAGGTGAACTGTGTCAGGGGGAAGCAGGTCGGGTAGGCTGAGGGGAGGGAGAGGCACCATCAGCACACCCCAACACACATCAGGGCACCCCAACCCTCCTCACAGCCCCGGGGAGCACCCCCAGGGCTCCTGGTCCAGGTTGCAATGCAAGATGTTTTCTATCACTATCTTTATGGCAGATTATCTTTTGTCAAGTTTGCCTTATTGAAGATTATTTTTGTGTGCAGTTTGCTTTATCTCTCTCTTTGAGTGCTCACAATCACTCCTCCCTCGGAGGGGACATCTGCTGATAACAGCTATTGGATGTCACTGCATGGCTGATAAGAGCTACAGCATCCCATTGGGAGATGTGAGCCCAGAGGGAGGAGCCAAACATTCCTACCTGGATACAATCTGAGATTTCAAACATCCCTACCCAGATACAATCTGAGATTTCACACATTCCTGCCTGGATATAATCTGAGGTTTCAAACATTCCTACCCAGATATAATCCAGAGGTTTTGAGACACCAGCACGGCTTCTCCACTGGATTCCCCAGAAGAACAGCAGCTGCCTCTCCCACTGGATCTTCAGAGGAATATCTATAGGACCCCCTTGCTTCAACAGAACCACCCCTGACACTGCAGGAGGGCTGCAGCCACAATTCCAATGGGACTGCTGCCAACACCCTGACCCACAGGGTGTCAGGATGGGTTCTGACTCTGTCAGTGTTGTTTTAGTGTACTGCATTGTTTATTTTATCCTTTTATTTTTTTTCTCCCCTATTAAAGAACTGTTATTTCCTGCTCCCTTTTTTTTTTTTTTGCCCGAGAGCCCCTTAATTTCAAATTTATAACAATAAATATATTTTTATGTATTATTGCTATAAATATATTTATTGCTATTGCAGGGGTGGGGAAGGTTTACATTCTCCATTTCAGGGGAGGCTCCTGCCTTCCTTAACAGACACCTGTCTTTCCAAACCAAGACAAACTGTTATTCCTGCTCCCATATTTTTTTGCCTGAGAGCCCCTTAATTTCAAATTTATAGCAATTTGGAGGAGGGGGAGTTTTACATTCTCCATTTCAGGGGAGGCTCCTGCCTTCCTTAGCAGACTCCTGTCTTTCCAAACCAAGCCAGCTCCCAGTCCCAGCTCACCACACGAGGCAGACTCGTCGGAGCGGTCCCCACAGTCATCATCCAGGTCACAGGTCCAGGAGATGGGGATGCAGCGGCCACTGGCGCAGGAGAACTGGTTGGGAGAGCAGGTCCGGGCTGGCCAGGAGGGACAGATGGAGTGTTAATGGCTCATTGTACCTTGTCTTATCAGGGGAAGGTGGGGAACAACCCCCTGGGCTCCCAGGTGCAAAGCCAAGGTGTGAGACTGCAAAACCTCAGGTTGTGGCTCAGCACGGGCTCTCCTGAGGCTCCCTGAGGGCAAGGCAGGGTCCTCACCTGAGCAGGTGGAGTTGGACTCGTCCTCGTTGTTGCCACAGTCGTTGTCGCCGTCGCAGAGCCAGCGGTTGGGGATGCAGCGGTTGTTCTTGCACTTGAAGCGGTCTGAGGGGCAGGTGTGCTGGTCTGTGGAGGGAAATCACACTGAGAACCATCCTCATCCCACCCCATCCCTCCAACAAAGAGAAAAACTGGGGCAGAAAAGGGCTGGAGGCTCAAACTTGGCATCAGAATCTCAACCAACTCTCCTGTGCTGCGCCCAAGAAGGGCATGGATGGCACAGGGACAGGGACAGGGACAGGGACAGGGACAGGGACAGGGACAAGGGCCAGCACTGCCCCAAAGGAGGGCATGGATGGCACAGGGACAGGGTCAGCACTGCCCCAAAGGAGGGCATGGATGGCACAGGGACAGGGACAAGGGCCAGCACTGCCCCAAAGGAGGGCATGGATGGCACAGGGACAGGGACAGGGCCAGCACTGCCCCAAAGGAGGGCATGGATGGCACAGGCACAGGGACAGGGTCAGCACTGCCCCAAAGGAGGGCATGGGTGGCACAGGGACAGGGACAGGGTCAGCACTGCCCCAAAGGAGGGCATGGAGTGGCACAGGGACAGGGTCATCACTGCCCCAAAGGAGTCGGAGAGGGCACAGAGGATTCCTGGCTGCTCAACCCTTTCCCAACCACTTCCTCCACATCTGGAGGAGCCCAAATCCCACCACCCAGGAGGGATCACCCACGGCAGAGCTCGGGGGCCTCGTCACTGTTGTCCAGGCAGTCGTTGTCCCCATCACATTTCCAGCGCTCCTGGATGCAGCGGTTGTTCTTGCAGGCGAACTCCCCGGGCTGGCACTGAGGCGGGGGGATGTAGGATGGATTGGCTGCCAACAGGAAAGCACAGGCAGGATTTTAACCAAGTGATCAAGTGCAGCATCTCATGGGGAGAGCCCCCAAAAGGGTCTCAGCCTACCCTGGCAGGTGACAGAGTCCGGCCCCAGGATCTGGTCCTCGGCACAGGCGCACTGACGGCCCCGTGGGGTGGCCAGGCACAGGCTGCTGCAGCCCCCGTTGTTGACACGGCATTTGTTGGAGCCCACTGTGGAGGGAAAGGGTGAGGAGGTGGCATTTCAGTGCCCAGGGTGCCCTGCAGACCCACTGGGGTGCTGGGAGCCCCCAGCCCCTGGGGACAGTCACAGCTGGAAGGCAGCTGGAAACACCAGGTGAGGCCACAGGGACCCCTCAGGTGACACTGAGCCTGGGGGACAGGCAGGGGGACAGCTAAAAATAAAACAAAAAGAGGTGAGGGGAAGCTCAGACTCGCCCCCAAAACCCTCAACAGCAGCCACAGTTGAAAGGCAGCTAGAAACACCAGGTGAGACCATGGGGACACAGAGTCTGATGAAATCAGGGTGGGAAAAAGATGGAAGGGCAGGAAATGAACAGGAAAGAAAAAGAAGGAGCATGGAGACAGCTAAAAGGCAACAAAAAGAGCTGGGGGGAAGCTCAGACTCACCCCCAAAACCCTCAACAGCAGTCACAGCTGGAAGGCAGCTGGAAACATCAGGTGAGGTGACAGGGACACGGAGCCTGATGGAATTAGGGTGGGCAAAAGAGGGAAGGCTACAAGGGCAGGGCATGAAGAACAGGAAAGAAAAACACAAAGGGTGAGGAGATGGCATCTCAGTGCCCAGGGTGCCCTGCAGACCCATGGGGTGCTAGGAACCCCCAGCCCCTGGGGGCAGGTACAGGTGGAAGCCAGCTGGAAACACCAGGTGAGGCCACAGGGACACAGAGCCTAACGGAATTAGGGTAGGAAAAAGATGGAAGGCTGGAAGGGCAGGGAATGAACAACAGGAAAGAAAAACAAGGAGCATGGGGACGGCTAAAAGGCAACAAAAAGAGGTGTGGGGGCTGCTTAGGAAGCTCAGCCTCTCCCCCAGCCCCTGGTGGGCTCTCACCTTGCTGCTGCTGGGCGTCGTACATGCGGATCTCGAAGATGGGCGGGCGCTCGTTGCGCAGCAGGCTCACGGCCTTGGAGGCCTGCTCCAGGCGGTAGATGCTGCCGCTGCGGTACTCGGTCCAGAAGAGAAAATTGCTGTAGTGGCACAGCCCGAAGGCGTGGTTCAGCTCCGGGCCCTCGTACACGATCTGTGCGTGTGGGGAGGAGGAGAGGGGATGTTAGGTGGGGTGGGTGATCAGGGATAGGGACATGGATAGGGTGATGGGAGAGCAGAGAGGCTCTGTCAGATAGGATGGGAACTCGGGGACAGCAGCAGGGACAGGCTGATCAGGGACAGGGGTAGGGACAGGGACAGGGACAGGGTGATCAGGGACAAGCACAGGGTGATGGAAAGAGAGAGCAGAGAGGATCACATGAGATGGGCACTCATGAGACATCACATGAGAGAGCAGGAGCACATGGGATGGGCACTCAGGGACAAGGACAGGGTGATCAGGGACAGGGAAAGGGACAGGGACGGGGATAGGGACAGGGAACAGGAACAGGGATAGGGTGATCAGGGACAAGGACAGGGGCAGGGATAGGGATAGGGATAGGGATAGGGATAGGGATAGGGATAGGGATAGGGATAGGGATAGGGTGATCAGGGACAGGGATAGGGACAGGGAACAGGAATAGGAACAGGGACAGAGACAGGGACAGGGTTATCAGGGATAGGGACAGAGATGGGGACAAAGACAGGGACAGGGATAGGGACAGAGACAGGGAACAGCCACAGGGACAGGGTGATAGAAGGGGAGAACAGAGAGGCTCCATCAGCTGGGATGGGCACTCAGGGACAGCAACAGGGACAGGGACAGGGACAGGGTGATGGGAGGGGAGAACAGAGAGGTTCCATCAGCTGGGATGGGCACTCAGGGACAGCAACAGGGACGGGGACAGGGACAGAGGTAGGGACAGGGAAAGGCACAGGGACAGGGTGATGGGACAGGGACAGGGTGATGGAAGTAGAGAGCAGAGAGGTCACAGCTCAGCTCCCCAGTGCTGTGAATAATCAATGTCCCAGACTCCACTCACCTTCCTGTCAGTGCCATTGAGATAAACCATCTCAATGCGGTCGTAGTACGCATCCACCCAGTAGAGGATCTTGGCTGGGATGTCCAGGCTCAGCCCGTTGGGCCACAGGACAGTCTTGGAGGTGATGAAGATGTTTCTGTTGGATCCATCCATCCAAGCCCTCTCAATCTTGCCCCTCTTGCTGTCCTTGGGATCCTCCTCCCAGTCTGTCCAGTACATCCACCTGCCATGGACATCAAACTGAGACTTGACCTGGCCACCACAGCTCGTGACAAGACCCAACCACGTCCCTGTGGCCCCACCAGACAGCCCAGCCCACCCAGGCACCCTCACCCATTCAGGGGGTCCACCACAATGGCACGGGGGTGCGTCATCTTCCCCTCGATCAGAGTCTTCCTCGTCTGGGCAGCCTTTTCCAGCCGTGCCACGCTGATGGTCTTCTTGGGGCCATCATCTGTCCAGTACAGATTGTTCCCCATCCAGTCCACAGCGATGCCCTCCACATTGTGGATGCCTTTGGGGGGAAATTGGAGCGGGTTTGTCACCAGGCAGGAGGTGAAAAGTAGAAGGAACAGCCCCAAAAGTGCCCAATCCTGACCCAAATTGAGGGGGATGATGGGCACCCAACCCGATGAGAAAGTTTGCTAGAGCTGCTCTTTGAACAGAGAAAATTTTATGGAAAATCTGCTACAATTTTATGGAAAGTCGGCTAAAATATTATGAAATGCTAAATATACTGAAAATTTGGACTGTAGACATGTCAAGTGGGATCATCCTGAGCTAATGGATGTTTGAATATTCTGGGTATTAAGCTCCTTCTATCTCAGACAGGTGATTATTATTATGATAATATTATATAATATATATAATCATACTATCATATAATAGTATCATTATTATGTTAATATGATAGGATAATATGATTATATGTATTATATATATTCTATATGATAAGATTATATTATTATACAATTATCATTATTACTACTATTAAATTATATTATTATGACAATGTTATATGATAATATGATTATATATTATATATATACTATATGATATATATTCTATATGATAATATTATTACTACAACTATTATTATTACTATTATTACTATTAAATTATTATATAAATATATATATAATTTATATATTACTATAATTTCTTTATTTGATTTTTATTGTTATTGTTATTATATTACTATATATTATTTATAATTAATATAAATTATTGTCATTTACATGATATATATACATTTATATATGTATAAATTACTATTACTATTGTTATTACTATTGAATTATTATTATATTTAAATATATAAATTAATATAGAAATAAATTACTATAATTTAATCTATTTTATTTTATTTTAATTACTATATATTATTTCTAATTACTATAAATTGATATATTATATATATATATATATATGTATATGTATAAAACAATTATTATTATTACTATTAAATTATTATTATGATAATAATTTTATTATCCTTCCTGCAAGGCCAGGCCCCTTGGCCACTCACCATCCTTCAGGATTGTCTCCCTCTCTGTGCCATCGATCTTCTGGCGCCCTATGAGATAACTGGTGGTGTCAGCAAAGTAGATGTAGCCAGTCTCAGCATGGAAGTCCAGAGCCCTGGGGTTCATCAGGTTCTCGATAGGGATCATGTGCTCATCGGGCACCTTGGCACCCATGTCCATGCCCCGGATGATGCCAGGACGTCCCTTCCCGTACACCAGGAACAGCTCGTGCTCGGGCTCTGTGGAGAGATAGCAGTGCCATGGGGGTGGCAGGCGGCACTGGGGCTGTGGTGGGCTCACAGCAGGGCATGCAGAGCCTTTCTCTCCAGCCTCTCACCCCAAAGATCCCCCCAGGAAAGGCAGCACTCACTTTTGCAGGATTTCCCGTCGCTGCCCAGGCTGAAGCCGGAGCGGCAGCGGCAGGTCCGGCTCTTGTGGCTGTTCCCCAGCAGGCAGATGTCGGAGCAGCCTCCTGGCTTCCCAAACTGATCTGGCTCGCAGGCGTGGCTCCTCACTGCAACACAGAGAGGGGCTGCAGCTGCTGGGGACACTGGGGGGACAGGGAGCACCTGGGGGACAGGGACACAGGGGGGACAGGGA